AAGGCCGTTTGTATATGAAATTTACATGTTCGATGTACTTAATATGAATCTCATTCGTATAAGCTCTTTACTATGGTATTATTCACTGGGCTTTCGCTCACTCTTTGTATAGATGTCTGTAGGTGAGCAGCAAGATGCCCAACCCCAACCGTAATGAACCCAAGTAAGAATGTCAAGTTTGTGGAGTCAACCATGACATGCCTCACGAACGAGGCCATACTTTTAAACTTTCATTTTGACCCTTTTGTCTTCTTTTGATGGTCATGTTTGATCTTATCTGTATATAAGCTATGGTTTTATATAAATATGGTGTTGCATGGACCTAGACATAGAATGTCTTTGATGGGGTATGTTTGGTGTGAGTTATTAATATAAGAAATGTTTTTGTTCATTCCATTTATGCACGGCTCATTGGACAAATATTATCTTTTTGCTTCTTCTTTTGGCCCCATATGATTATTTTAAAATTTTTTTTTCTGTCTGAGGCCGTAGGTAATCTAATGATTACCGGTCGGTTATGATCCTAACCTTTAGGGGCGGGTTCAGGTCATGAGAAAAATTGTTGTCAAATCCTCTCCTTACTCATGGAATAAGGATGAAACATTCACTTATATGCTTCAAACTGGAACTAGGAGAGAGTTTTCAACACTTCTCGATAAAGACCTCTCTAGGAGCAACAAAGCAAGGAAGGAAAAAAAATCAAGAAGCAAGCTTAAACACATGACTCATCAAAGTTGTTGACAACTCCTCTTCTATTCATGGAACAAGGATGAGACATCCATTTCCATGTTTCGAAAATGATCAATAAAAGAGTTTTTCAACACTTTGAACACGGAAACTACTACCTAGCTTCAAGACGGACAACAATAATATGAAACAAACACTACAACAAAAACACACTTTAGTGGCACTACACTAGTGGCATATTTTTTGAAATTGCCACAAAAAATAATATTTGGTGGCACGTTTTTTAAAAATGCCATTAAACGGCAAACATAAAGACTCTAGTGACATTTCAATAAATAAGTGGCACAAAATGTAACGCCCTCAAAATAATACATAAAACCCATCACTTTAGACATGCATTGATATAAAAGAAACTAACCATTTCTATTTATCAGAGTAATTCTTACAACTGTATTACATGTTAACAACAAAAGCAAATGCCCTATGGGCTTACAGCTTTCCAAGTTAACACTTAGTTACAAAAAGGAGAGTGCTAACTCAATACATATTAAGCCCTTGGCTAGAATTTACAAGTAATACATCAAAATAAACAAAAAAGAGTCTTCAACCCTCATCCTTACCCAAGCTATGTCCTTGGAGGTGGCATACTACCTGTACCTGAAAATAATGTCCCATAAAGGGTGAGCCAACGCCCAGTAGAGATATGCTAAACACAGTATGAGCAATAACTAAGACATTAGCAATTGATAAATGTTCAATTTCCATAAAACAATTCATAACCCGTTTCCATTTCTTATTAGTTTCACAATTTACATTAACGGCTCAGAACCTGGCCAACCACTTATATGAGACAATGACTCATATTAAACATTTCCCACTTTACAATAGATAAACATATTAGTTGTATCAACATCTCAACAGATAAGCGTACAAGCTGTATCCACAGTTCAACAGATATGCATATTAGCTATATCAATACTTCCAATGATAAGCATATGAGTTGTATCAACACTTCCAAAGATAAGCATATGAGCTATATTAACACATTATCTGACAAACATATGAGTTGTATCAGTGGAGTCCATCCGCTATATCCTCCCAAACAACATCTGGTTTAGAGGTCCATCCCCTATCTTCCCCTAAACCGTAGAGTACATCCCCTATCTCCTCCCACACACACAACGTATATACACAAAGGTCATATACACAATCAATCAATACATAACGTTAATGTATTCTATCAACCGTCATACTCTATGATATATCCAATGGATTAGTTTTAGTTTGCCTAATCATCATGCATTGTCTACAACAATCAAAACTACCCTCCACCGGTAGCCCAAGCAATTATTTCTAAACAGATAATAAAAGCTCCAACAGATAAAATATCAATGTTTTCAAAAGTGAGCGATTAATAAATCCAACTCCACTATTCTACCATACAATGAACCAATTTCATTATTTCCAACTCAATTCCATATAGCTACAATTTTCCCAAATTAATTATACCAATTAATTTAAATAACAAATTAGGGCTTTTTCCCCCAACTCTCAATATCACCTCAAAGGTTCAAATATCACCAACCAACAACTATATCATCATTTTGAAACCCAAATTACATATTATGAGCCCAAAATCACAAAACCCTCTTTAACACATTTTGAAATCCTAAGTCCCAAAATCAACCATTTAAATAATAAGCTCAAAATCTAGGTTAAAACCCATAAGAGTGAGTAGGAATCCCTACCTGAAATTCGGAGCTCAAGGAAAGAAGATGGAGAAACTCGACGTGCTCCAAAACTCAATATACTCGGATTAAAACGTAGCCCTCGACGATCAACCCAACTCTTACAAAGGCTGAAGGAAGAAGAAACACTCTAACTAGATTAAACCCTAGAGAGAAGGGAGTTTCTAGAGAGAGGAACTCTCAAAACGACTTTTTAGAAAGTAAGAGAGAGAGATGGAGAGAAAGTAAAAAGTGAATTTAAAACGCCCAGCTGCCAACTGATATACGACATTCCCGCTCGAGCGGAGAACACAATGCTCGAGCGTCAAGAACAAAAAACTAGGTACGCTCGAGCGCAAGAGGGCCCGCTCGAGCGCCAAGACACAAGAATAAAACACATTCGCTCGAGCGCGAAAACCAGTCCGCTCGAGCGTAGATTTCCCCCTCCCAGAACTTACACCAAAAGGTACTTCCCGCTCGAGCGCTAAAGTACCCGCTCGAGTGCCACCGCTCGAGCGCAAAGAAACCCACTTGAGCGTGAAAAACATGCCTGCAGAATTTCTGCAGCGCACCAAAATACTGAGAGCGTGCAATCTCCGCTCGAGCGCAAGAAGACCCGCTTGAGCGGGACTCCTAAAAACTGGGCAACAAAGAATTGAAACCAAAGCTTAACCAACCTGTAACAACTCTGCCCAATACATCCTAAAACTCAATCAAGCGGAATTAAAGGACGACAACAAGATAGATACAACTACCAACTTCACGGAACTGAGTCCGGAATACAACAGAACAGTAAAGGGACAACCGGGATCGCTATACAAAATTAAAACAAAAACACATTTTAGTGACACTATATTAGTGGCATGTTTTTAGAAAATGCCACGAAAAAAATATTTGGTGACACATTTAGAAAAATGCCACTGAACCACAAACATATAAGGCTCTAGTGGCATTTCAATAAAGAAATGTCATATCAATTTTATGGCATTTTATAAAAAGAATGACACAAGAAATTTGTTTAGTGACATTTATCAACAGATGTCACTAAACTTTAGTAGCAATGTCATTTTCTTAAAAATGTCACTAAGCTAGGTAGGTGCAAGTTACTTTTTATGGCATTAGGCAAATAGTGTCATAAACAATATTTATAGCATTTTGAAAAATGCCACTAAGCCAAAAAATTTCCAAGCTATATAATGGCATTTTTTGTAAAACAAAAAATGACAATATATTTTAAAAAAATTTAAAATGAACAAAATAAATTAAACTCAATATAACATATTTTTTTAACTGTACTTGTTACATGTATAAAATTGATCAACGACTTTATATGACTAAACAGGAAAAAAAAATCCAAATTGTTCTCTTGTACAATGATAAAGTTTCATGAATTTTAGTCCCTCTAATTTCAATTAACTCGATTTTCACTCTGAAATTACGAATTTATCTCAATTTCTTTCAATTGCTTATAATTTTTGGGTAAATTACATCAATAATCCTTACATTTTGTTCTTCCATATAGTTTTAATTGATTCACTTTTGACACTTAATTTTAGATTTTACCCAACAATTTAGATTTATAATTGTTGGGTAAATTAATTATTTTTTATTTCTTAACCAAATTAATTTTTAATTTTTAAATTTTCTTTCTAAAAATCAAACTGTACGTAGCCTAAGAATCTTTTGATAAGTCATTTCTTACGTTGGTAACTTATTTAATTATTTGTTAATTTTACCACATTTTTATCATCTGAGGCTTGTTTGGTAACCATTTCATTTTCAGTTTTCAATTTATATTTACAAAAATTTAAAAAACTGTCATAAAAACTTGTTTGAAATTTTTTTTTTTTTGGTTTATAAATTGCTGTCTCAGTTTGTAAATTTGAGAAAAAAACGTAAATTCAAAAAATGAGTTTATGTTGATTTTTAAACATAAATAAAAAAAATTTACTAACAAAATATTTTTTCAAATAATTTTTTTTTTCAAATAATTTTTTTCCCAATTAAATTTTTTTTCCAACTAATACTAAACGAGGGGGCAATTGGTAATGCTACTTTAAACCTTAGGGAGAGGATTATAATTTCTAAAATGTGAGGGGTGTCAATGTAATTTACCTAGTGAGGGCAAAATTGGTATTTAAAAAAATGAAATTGTTGAGGGGGAATCTGTAATGAAACTTTAAATCTCAAGGGGAAGTGTAATTTCCAAACAGTGAGGGGGAGCTGTAATAAACATAAATCTCAGGGGGGGTGTCAATGTAATTTACCCATATTTTTAAATGACAAATATGCATATAAGTGACATATGTCATACTTTAAAATAATAAATTTGCTCAACTTGTTAAGTTAACCACAACAAATTCAGTGATAATTTTTTATTAAAAATATTAACAGTATTATTAATTACACTAAATTGACACAAAATTAAAAATTACAAGTTACAAGTGATTCAATAAAAAATATAAGGGCCGAATATTTACTTTTTAATTTAAGATAAGTTTTTTTCCCTTCTATGTTATACAACAAAGTAAATAACGAAATTGAAGAAACAAACCAAATTTGATACAGCAAAATCTGCACACCAGATTGACATAGAGACAGAGAAGGAAGTCCAAAAATTCTGAAATTGGTGAAGTAAATTTGATTTTGGCGGGTTAAAGAGGCGGGAGCCAAATCATGAAGCAAGGGTTTATCAAATGCCATCCTTATCTACCATCTACACCACAAATTTCCTGTGTTTTCATCTTCTACGATCAGAGTTCATTAGGTATTCTTTCTCTCTTTCTCATTCTCATCAAACACACACAATACCTCTATCTTTCTTACTTATTTATGATCTTCTTGTTTTAGCCATATAACTTGATACAATCTGAAAATCTAATTTTGTAACTCATGAATTTATTAATTTTCATTTTTTAATATAAAAGGTTAGTTGTAATTTACTATTATTGTTTGTATGTTGTGATTGTATATAATGTCTTGTGAGTGTTTGTTTAAATGCTTCAGTGGGATTTTGCATTAGGTTGCTCTGTTTATTTTTTTTTTTTTTACCAAATTACTCAGTCAAATCACATAAACAAGCATTAGTATACCAGACTATGTGGTCAAGTTTCTTAGTTTAACCCTCAAGGTATACTTATAAAGTAGTTTCGTTGATGAACTTATTATTGTTTATTAAGATTTATGAGTGGTAGATGTCCATGATTTGTGAGATTTCTATAGGCTAGCTTATCATTAAAATGAAAATAATAATAACAATGATTCTCTTTCTTGTGATTGTCAAGGTGAATTATTAAATTTCCAATCTACATTATCTGTAAATAGTATACGAATTGAGATTATACATAGTATTGCCCTGTAAAAAATGAATTCTATTAGATCATGTAGTCATTATTGCCTGTTGGGTGCAAAACATATATTAAGTATTAAAAAGTGGAATAAATTAAAGAGAGGCACATAAGTGAAGTATTGGGTATTTGATTAGACCAAGAATTGAATTTCATTCAAGATAGGTGCATCTACTAGTGGACACAATCAAATTTAACAAAGATGCATCTAGCAATGGATGCAATCAGAATTCAGAATACTTCACCGAAGGGAAGAGAAAAAAAAAACTAAAAAAAAACTAAAAAACTAAATAATAGATAATAATAAAAACTATAGCAACACTACATTAGGTAAGGGTTATTAGAGCATGCATAATAAGATATATCTTTGTATTTATCTCCTAGATGCTGCTGAACTGAGGTTTAGAACCTTCTAAAAGATGCCAAGCAGAGAGAGAACTTTGGCTATTGAAAAATAAAATAAATCACTGATGTACACAGGGCATTTGTTCTGTACAACAGTGATTTACAAACTACAAAAGCCATGAATATAGATCAAAACAAAAAATTAAAGGAAATAAAATGCATAAAAAAGGGAAAGGAGGAGGCCCACTAGCCATGGGGGATGGCGGCGCGGGTGGGGGTGTCGAGAATATTGCCCTCCATAAGAAAACCAAACAGCAAGTCAACTATCATTCAATGTTCATCAAACATAGCAATTAAATATGAGTTTGGAAAATTAAATCGTTGTGTTAAACCTATACTCGAGCCACAAATGACCCAACAAAACCATATGCACCTTACAAAACTAAATCATAAACGAAGTCAAGAAATTGATCCGGGTTTAGTCTAATCATCAACAAAGCCATGCTCTTCTTCTTGAATCTCTTCCCCACACACCTGCCCCTCCACACATGCATGAATTTCACCACTCCGAAAAAAACCTAAGAGATCCAAAATATCAAGAAGCTCAAGTCCCATAACTCTCTTGCCACTTTACAATGTAAAAGAACATGGGCCTAGTTTCTCATCACTTTTGCACATGCCACCCTAATTAACATAAAGATTCCTACACAGAGATCAGCATCTGTACTGCACTAGGCCATGACTATAGCTTTCTATTAGATGCAATTGTATAGAGCCTTAGACCATTGACAATTTGACAATGTCAACCTGGCTTGACCAACAAGGCCAGCTTGGGTTATCATAAAATAAGATATATACCTTATAGTTCTAGTTAGTTCTTTTGATCCACCAAACAAACCTAAAAAACAGTCACCAAAACAGCCACCAAATCAAATAATAGGTTGCTTGGCAGACCAACAGGTCAAACAGAGATCAGTATAGATAGATAGACAAGCCAATTCAAATAACAGCCACCAAATCAAATAGAACAAAGTAAACCAACTTACCAGACCAACAGACCACAACCTAAGCAGCCAAGAAGCAAAAGGTAGTAGAAGCAGAATTAGCAGAATCAGCACATATGAATAGGAAAACAAAGATCTGCCAAAATCAACAACCCAGATCAGTCACTGGCCTTAGCAACCAAACAACGCCACACCAAACCTAAGGCAAAATTTGACCAAAGAGACCGAAGAAAACACATCAACAACAAAAGCACAACAAGATCTACCTACAGCTTAGCATATCAAACCAGCAAATCAGTTAAGCCATCTATCCTGTTTAACAATCACCAAAACTTGCAGCTAGCTGCTTCCATATAGAATCTGGAGCAAAAGCAGCAGCAACACCACAATCAGCAGACTCAAAAGTAGGTAGCTGCTTCCATACCTAACAGCGGAGCAATACCTCCATTTTCTGATGCAATACCTCACTTGCTGCAGGTTAAATACCAAATCATTTATAGATACTCAACTACTTTAAGTAAGGTCAATCACAGCACAAAAATCAACTACTTAATTCGATTTGATTAAATCAGTTCACCATACAAGCACAAAACAAATAGCCTCATGACCATATATCAGTACAGCCCAGTATGTCAGTAGTCCACAACATTTCAGCCTAAGATTACTTGACTTGTATTGGACTGTTGAATTGTATAATAATCCTCACATTGGTATAATGGATTGATTTGTTGTTGTTGAGCAAGCATGAATGTTCCTAACTCATTTGCAATTCCCATTGCATATGGTTATTCTCTTGAAAAACGGGGCTTTATTATTTTGCTTGTCCATTGACATTATAACTTATCATCTTACCTTGCTGTATGCAAAGATTGATGACTCTAGTACACCAACCTGACATTCCTTTAATATTTTGTGCTGTACACAGGTCGATTTATTGACACTTGCTCTGCTAGTTGAAATTTTTTAATTTTCTGGTTTGAGAAGAAGTCCTTTGTATTGTGTATCTGTCTAACAGACCTTTCAAATTTTTAAATTTGAAGGTCTGTTAGATATGATAGTTTAGATATGGGTTTCAAAATTGAAATTGAGAGCTTTACCTTACATATATTTTTACTCTATTTAATCTTCTATTTGAGTTTCTCAATTTATCTACAATCGTTCACTCTATTAAATTTTAATCCAAATTTAATCTCAAAATCCTTTCATTTGCAACTCACTATCCAAATAAAATCAAAAAGTTTGCAGCAGTAGGATACATAACCCAGCAAAGATGCAGAACTCTTGAGCACACGAAAAGGGGCATTATCACCAATCATAATCTTCCTTATTGGTGTGATTACTCCAATTAAAAGCCCAATAATCTGTGACACAAAACAACAACAAATGTTAAGCTAGAGGAAAGAATTGAACAACCTACTTGATTAGCAACACAAGGATGTAACTCTTGAAAAATATTATAAACATCAACAGGATTGTACGGATGCAATGGTTGATGGTGCAAACAACATCTTCAAGTTGATCTTTTCCACAAAAATCTTCACATACTTCTTAATCTTATTGAAAATCAGCACCTGTCAAAGGATAAGGTTCGCGGCTGCTCTATAAGTAATTATAAATCAAATTGTAGATATATCCATGTTAAATTAATACATATTACTTCCTCCATTTTTTATTATCATTATTTTTTTTTAAAGTTAAAAATTGAAGTCTACAATAGGTTTGTACTGGTCACTTGAGTGCAGATCCTCTCCCTTTGCATTACTCTGCACAACCGCATCTAAAAAACAATTAGAATCAACTGAATCATCTAGTGGGTCAATTTGATTACATTGAAGCCTTGTAAGGACATCTTGATTGAAATTTTCTTTTATTACAAAAAAGAAAAGACATTTAAAGACACTCCAAAATTGCCCAGAAAACCAAAAAGCTTTCTCTGACAATAGGAGGCTAAAAAATATATCCTACGCAATGTTCTAGAAAAGGAAACTCTCACAACCCGAGAGCCTAGGAAACAAGCAAACAAAACAATAACTCTCACAACTCGAGAGGCTATTTTTAGTGGTTTTTTAATTTTTTTTACAAAAAAAGCGTGTAAAATAGTAGAAAGAATGGGTTGACTTTTTGAAGTGAATTTTTGATTTTTTTTGTGTTGTTCCCTAACAACACCTAAGTAACCTTTAAAATTTACCAAGGTTGGCACCACAACTATCCACAGGTACAAGCTTTTAAATGGCCAAGTGAATACACATTTACAATTTGAGAGAAATATTTTTTCAATTTTTTTGGAGATGTTGATATACCTGCGGAGCAGCAACCAATCACGAGGCCATGAAAATGTTTAGGAGTTTTGGTGATTTTAACAAGTATCCATCCAAGTGCTGAACCAATAATAATTGTGAGGAGGATATTCAGAGGCATGAACCACCTACACATTAAACCCAAAAATTAAATAGCAAAATAAAGAGGAATTTAAAAAAAAAAAAAATTAAGAAGAAGAAGAAGGTAAATAGAGAATATACTCACAAAGAAACTATATCTGTAATAACCTGACCCTCGTACATGTTTTCTGATATATTTTCAGTCCCTTTATTTTGTGCATTTAAATGCTTATTGTGAAAGTTCATGAGGAATTAAGTTTAATTAAGTGAACCTTATAATTATAGATACATGTGCTATTTTGCTAATTTACTGGTTACTAATTAGATGTAATCGGTATAGAACCTTGATGTCATTTTCTGACACTGTTATATAGAATGAATTGCTATTGAAATAATGTACAATGCTTTCTTCACATTCCCAATGCTCCACTACCATATGATTGCTATTGAAATAATGATATTGCATTGACTTTGTAATACTTACATTCTTTTACATGTTTTCTCTTGACATGAGTTGGCTTATAGTCATGCACCAATATATTATTAGAGTTATGTTCTACATTATTGTTAGTATCTTATAGTTCTTGCAAAATAAAGTTTAGTTGTTTTTGTCAATCATAACTTACAAATACTTGTTATTGATATATTCATTTTTTAATGTTCTAGAAACACTTTGGACACTTGTTTAATCGAGATTGTTTACTTATGGATAAGACATGGATGTATCGATCAAGATTAAGTGATGCATACCAGAAAGGAGTTGACATGTTTCTCGATTTTGCATTTACTAATGCAAGTTATGAGGATAAGATCATATGTCCATGCATCAAGTGTGGACTTACACTTCCCGTCACTCGGTCAGTTGCATATGATCACTTAGTATGTGATGGCTTCACAAAGGGTTACACTAAATGGGTTTTACATGGTGAAGCATCATCTGTTGCTACAACAGTTGTTGATAGGCACATGCAGAATAGGCCACAATTAAATATTGATACACATGGATTAGTACACGAGGCATTTGGAATCTCAAATGACGATGATATAGTCGATGGAGACAACCCTGAAGATTTGGGAGATAAACCAAATCCACAAGCAGAGAAGTTCTACAAGTTGATACATGATGGACAAAAGGAGCTTTATCCACAATGTAGGAATTTTAAAAAGCTCTCATTCATCCTTTAGTTATTTCATATCAAGAATTTAGGCAGATGGAGTAATAAACCGTTCACCATGTTATTAGAGTTATTGAAGGAGGCATTCCCAGAGGATGTAACACTGCCTAATACTATTTATGAAGTTGAGCAGATAGTCATGGAGTTAGGACTTAGTTATGAGAAGATTCATGCATGTCCTAATGATTGCATGTTGTATAGGAATGAGCACAAAAATGATTCTGAATGTTATGTTTGCCATACATGTAGGTATGTAACAGAGCAAAATGATTCAGGCAACGAGGCATCATCTAAAAAGGGCAGCTATAAAGCACCTTCTAAGGTTTCACATTACTTTCCTTTGATACAAAGGCTACAAAGGTTATTCATGTCATCCAAAACAGCATCATCTATGAAGTGGCATAAAGAAGGTCGCACCAATGATGGTTGTATGAGACATCCTGCCGATTCTCCAGCTTGGATGACTTTTGACCACCTACATCCTGATTTCACAGCAGATTGTAGAAATGTCAGACTTGGGTTAGCGTGTGATGGTGTGAACCCTTTCAGAACATTGAGCAGCACGTATAGCACCTGGCCTGTAATTCTTATACCGTATAATTTGCCTCCGTGGATGTGTATGAAGCTGACAAATTTTCTATTATCATTGATTATCCCTGGTCGTAGAAATAATATTATGTGTATTTGGAACCTTTAATAGATGAATTAAAGGAATTATGGGTGGATGGAGTAAAGACATATGATGCATCAATTAAACAAAATTTCCAATTGCGTGTAGCATTAATGTGGACTATCAGCGACTTCCCTGCTTATGCTTATTTGTCAGGGTGGAGTACTAAGGGGAAGTATGCATGCCCTTCATGCCACAAAGACACATGCTTCCAGTGGTTGAAGCATGGCCGAAAACATTGTTACATGGGTCATCGTCGATTCTTGGACAAACATCATGCATTTCGAGATGATGAGCGATCTTTTGATGGTACTAAAGAAAAAAGAACTGGACCCAATCCTTTAACTGGTTCTATGGTATTAGATATGTTACATGGCTTCAATATCACTTATGGAAAGATGAGTACTAATCTAGAATTACCATATAATTGGAAGAAAAGAAGCATATTCTTTGAATTACCATATTGGAAGGATAATCTAGTGCGTCACAATCTTGATGTGATGTACATTGAGAAAAATGTATGTGAGAGCTTGCTTGGAACACTACTGAATTTAGAGGGGAAGACAAAGGATAATCTAAATGCACGTCTTGACTTGAAACTTCAAGGTATAAGGCCTGAACTCCATCCAAAAGAAAATACAGCAAATAAAACCATCTTGCCTCCTTCTTGTTTCTCATTAAAGAAACAAGAAAAAGATGTTTTTTGTAAATTTTTGAAGAATGTTAAAGTTCCTGATGGTTATGTAGCGAATATTTCACGATGCATAGACTTAAAGAAACGTAGAATCTTTGGACTTAAAAGTCATGATTGCCATATTTTGATGCAACAATTACTCCCTTTAGCAATTCGAGGAATGTTGAGTTCACATGTAACTTCACCTTTGATTGAGTTGAGTAATTTCTTTCAAGAGTAATGTTCTAAAGTTAGTTTGGCACAAGACTTTATGGGTCTTGAAAGGCAAATTTCAATAACACTTTGTGGATTTGAAAAAAATATTTCCCTTTAACTTTTGTGATATTATGGTGCATTTGGTGGTTCACTTAGCATCTGAGGCTAGATTAGCAGGACCTGTGCATTATCGTTGGATGTATTCTGTTGAGAGGTAAAGTTTATATTAAATTACATATTTCTTTACCATCGTTATTATATTTTACTTTTGTTATTATCGAACATCATTCAAAATTTTGTTTTTTTAACTTACCAAAACATAGGTACTTGAGTAGATTAAAGTCATATGTGCGAAATAGAAGTCGACCGGAGGGTAGTATGGCAAAAGGATACCTTGCAAATGAATGCTTGACATTTTGCTCGAGGTATATGGAAGATGTTGAGACACGGTTCAACCGGATGTCTTGAAATTATGATGAGGGGGTAATGGCACCGAAGGATTATCTATTTTCTCAATGCCTGGCCGACCATTAGGTAAGGGCGTGATAGACACAATGGATGATGGCACAAAAGAAAAGGCACATCGATATGTGCTATTTAATTGTGAGACAGTCAACAAATTTATTGAGTAAGACACTCGACATCTGTAATCAATTTCATTATTATTATTATTATTATTATTATTACTATTATTATTATTATTATTATTATTATTATTATTATTATTATTATTATTATTTTACATACTTTTGCCACACCCTTACAAATCTTTTATATGGCATACAGACAACACCGTAGACTTGTTTCCATACAAAATCCACGTCTTCGTGAAATGGCCATTGATCGCATTCATAGTGAAACATTTCCAACATGGTTTGATAAACATGTAAGCAGTGTTTTGAAGTTCCTTAAAATTTGATTTGATATTAACCTCAATTTCATTCCACACTTACAAAAGTTATGTCGTCAATTGTTTGAAAACAGGTTGAGGAATTGCATAATGCAGGTGATAGTCAAATAACTGAAGAGCTTAGATGTTTGGCTCATGGTCCAAATAGAATTTTCACAAAATATAAGCGATACTTGATAAATGGTTTTAGGTTCCATACTAAGGAGATTGAGCGAAAGAGGAAAACTCAAAATAGTGGGATTATTGTCACGGCAAAAACACGAAGCTTTGCAAGTGGTAGAGATGGAAATCCGGTCTCTGGAGATGTTACATTTTATGGCGTGTTAACAGATATAATTGAGTTAGATTATTTGTTTGGGAAGATGGTCGTGTTATTTAAAGGTGAATGGGTGTCACAATCAGGGAAAAGACAAGATAAAGATTGCACACTAGTCAATTTTGCACGATTAATGAAAGATGTTGAGCCTTTTGTTTTGGCTTCTCAAGCAGAACATGTAATGTATGTAGAAGACCTGAAACACAAAGATTGGCAAGTTGCTATCAAGATAAATCCAAGAGATTTTTATGATATGAATGCGGGGTCTTTTGTGGACAATGTGGAGGCATACTTGCAGAGTGTTATATGTAATACACAAAGTGGTGATGGGGACAATAATTTTGATTTGGTTTGGACAGACATGTCTGCTGCAATTGTAGATGCACCACTTTCTCAGGTGTTGAGAGACAACAATTTTCATGATGATGGAGATGAGGAAGAATTAGATCTTATGTGACTGTTAAACTTATTGAACATTGCTAGTTATTTATATTTGAAAACAATTCTATAGTTTCATTTTGTTCTCTTTCTTTATCATTGTTTTTGTTAATTTAATTGATTGTTTGAAGAATGAATAATGCGTTTTTAATTTAACTATGTGATTTGCATATGTGGCTACAAAATATTTATTCACTATATGTTACATTTAGTCACTACCAAGATAGCAACGCAATAAAGGTGAATTCACAAAAAAAAAAAATTTGTTAATTTTCTTCAAGTATTTTGTTCATTTGCAAATAATTTATTTGGATCATTCTAAGTTTACAATTTGATTTGTCTATTTTACTTGAATCATACTAGGATTCATCTATAAAGCAAAAGGCCTATGGACCCATATCTTCAGTTTCGCTCAGGCAATGTTGGTGAGTTTAGTGAGTCAGCTCCATCTGAGATACAACCAAATTCTAGTCAACCCAATGATAATGCAAGTATGCAAGTTCAAACCTTATAAAAATGTTATTATTTCTTCGTATATAATTTATTATTAGTATTATTATTTATTAATTTTTTATAACTAGATGGTGCTAGTGGACAAAAGAAAACTAGAGGTCCCACGCAAATGCGTAATATTTGGGGTACTCGTGATGATGAACGCCTAACAGTCAATTGGAACAAACTTGGCCAAGCTGATGACAAATTGGCAACAAAGTTATCATCGTTCATTGGAACTATTGTGCGTGATGGGAAAAATGCCCCACTCACTTACAAGAATTGGCATAAAGTCCCAGAACATTACAAAGATCACATATGGGCACTTGTACAGGTAAATGACACAATATTGTGCGAAAGATGATCACATGTGAAAAATAGTAAACATGAGTAATGTGATTAAAACAACACTCTTTATAATTTTGTTTATTTTTAATTTTTTATTATTGTATTCTTCTCTCTCTCTCTCTCTTTCTCTCTCACTCTCTCTCTCTCTCTCTCTCTCTTTTTTCTCTCTCTTTTCAGTCAAAGTTTGATCTTCCAAGTCATGCTAGGAAGTGGGTTATGAAGTGCTCTAGTAAGAAGTTAAAAGACTCGAAGGCAAACATAAAGAAAAATTATTATAAGAACCACTTGAGTTTTGACGAACAAAAGCATTATAAAGATAGTAGAGTATATGCTGATCAGTGGGAACACCTTATTAAGTATTGGGCCATCGAAGAAGTAAAGGTATACTCGATCTGATCATTATATGTTATTTTACTTGTTGTAGTTTGAACATCATTAATTTATGCATTTGTAATTTTAGGCACAAAGTGATAAAAACAAAGCAAGTCGTACAGAGCGAAAGTATAATCGTACTACTGGAACAAAAAGTTTTCCACGTGTTCAAAAGGAGTAGGTTAATTCATCTTTTCATGTTGTATATTTAATATGATAAGGTATACATAATGTGACATAATGATATAATTTATATTTTGGAATATATTATTTTGTAGAAAAATAAGTTGGGACACTCTCCAACTCGTGCTCACATGTTTAAAGTATATTATACAAAGGAGACTGGAACCCCTGAGGCAACGAAAGCAATGATAGTATGTACCAAATAATTATATATCCATTTGAACTTGTAGATTAGTTAAAATTTCCACATTATAGTGTTGAGTTATTGAAATGTATATATTAAGTTATGTTTTTTGCAACCTTATAGGATGAAATGAATGAGAGGACAACCTTAAATGCAAATTTATCAAATAAGGGCCCAAATGATGCATTTGGACAAGTGATGGGTAAAGAAAAACATGGACGAGTTCGCATGTATGGATTAGGTGTCTCCCCGTCTAATTTATGGAGAGATACATCTGGTCATAAAGCAAACCAAGACACAACAATGGATGTTATGGAAGGTGAAAATTCGGAGCTAAGGTCCAAAGTTTCCCATGTTCAGCATGCTCCGAATAACTTGACAAACACATCTAATCATGTAGTTTTTTTAATAGAATTTATAAGTTATTAATGTTTTCCTACACTTATATATGCATACATATGTCTATGTGTGTGTGTTTGTAAAATTAAATAGCTCAAATTTGGTTAGGCCACAACAACTTCTACTCCTCTCGACATGGCAGCTTGACATCAAGCATGGTCTTTGTCATCGATACAAGATGCTTCTCTTACTCAGGTACCTACTAAGAGCTAATCATATATATCACATTATTTCCAACTTTATTTTAGAATACCATGCAACACTTATTTTACAATTAACCAAAGAATGAATATTGCGAACATAAATTTCATTATTTAAATCTAGACAATATGTGCTACATAGTCTAAATCATGACATGACAAAGTTTGTGCTATTTTTTTAAAAAAAATTAATTTAATTTTCTTCTAAAGCTTTAACAAGACATCTCTCCATCATTTATTACCGCATGGCCTCTTTCTGATTCTCTCAAAATATTGCTTGAAAGTAATTAATTGATTGCCATTTTTCACAATTACATTTGATTTACATCGTTGAGGTTAGGTGATCCTGATATTGATAATGGACATGGTTTTGATTGTCGTTGATTGGTGCTTTTGGTTGTTATTGATTTTTGAAGCTATTGTTTGATATGGTCTAAAGTTTTACAGTTGTTACTTTTATATAATTTGTTGTAGTGTAGTGAACCAATTAAGTGATTAAAGCATTTGGCTTGCATATCTACTATAGAAATCTGTTAGCACTTTGTACTAGTTTTTTTTAAATATTATTTATTAATTTTAAATATACAATTACTTAAGTAGTTAAATCTTGATTTACAGGTGCAAGATATAGTTGTTCTAAAAAGTATCATTAGGCCAACAGAAACGGTTGCAATCGGAGTACTTAAAAGCACAGACGCATCTAAAGAAGTAGAAGGGGAAGAACTAGGACCTGTATAGCGATCCCGGTTCTTTCTTCTTTGGTTGTAGTATCCGAACTTAGTTCCGTGGATTCCGGTTGTTGTTTTGAACTTGTTTCTGTCCTTCAATTCTTTAAATTTGAGTTATAGAATGTTTTGGACTTGTTCGTTCCAGGTTGGGTGTGATTGGGAGCAGGTGGTTGCTGCCTAGGTTTTCAGTCCTTCGCTTGAGCGAGCTGTTTGTCGCTCGAGCGAGCGTGGAGTTTTGTGTCTGGTGGGTCGAGCCAGGGTGGCTTCGCTCGAGCGAGCGTTGCGTCTGGTACTAGGACCTGAGCATTGGAATTCTTGGCTCGAGCGAGCTTCTAGTTTGTTTGCCCGCGCGTGAGTTTTCTGTGTCTGGTCGCTCGAGCAACCAGGTCTTCGCTCGAGCGAGTCTATCGTATTTCAGTAGGCAGCAGCGGGGAAAAAGATCATTTTTCTCCCTCTTTCATTCTTGAAATCCTAGCAGCCGAGAGTCTCTCTCTCTAAACTGATTATCTCTCTAGATTTCATCTCCTTCTAGTATGAATCCATCCTAGGTCCTTTGTTAAAAAGGTAGAGGGTGTCGAGGGCTTCGTCTTAATCAAAAAATTGTGGATTTGGAGCACTTTGATTTCGGGTCAACATCTCCTTTTGAGTTCTCCTTTGAGGTAGGGATTCTCCTTGTTCTTTTTCAATACTACGTCTATAGATAGACATGTGGTAATTTTTGTATTGCATGAAAACCATTTTATGTTGGATTTTTGTATAAATTCATGAGGTTGTACTTTGGGTTAGTTGTTGGATTTAGATCTATTATCATTAGATGTGTTTTGGGGCTAATTAGGTGTTAATTAGCATGTTGTTGTTGTAAGGAGAGGAAACCCTAATATTTATTTGGTTTAATAACTCAATATAGGGGTTTTGATCATTGGGTAAATACTTGGGTATTTTGGGTTTTGAATGAAGCCATTGTTGTTTGTTGTAGATGATTGAACATTTTTATCAATATTGGGAGAAGGGGAGGGAAATCCTATTTTAGTGATTATGATTTAACTTGTATAATTAAATTGGAATGGCTTGGAGATGAATGTAGTAGATTAAAATGAGCTTTGGCTTTATTGTCCTTGGAATTGATTTTGTGAAAAACAAAAGGAATAAAACCAGTTTTGAAAACTAAAGAGAGTTGGTTTTGTGAAATGGGAAAGGTACTTTGAAATGAGTATGAATGTTGGATTGTTGAATCTTATACTACTATGTTAGTATTAGTGATAAGTTGATGATCTCATGATATTTGAATCTGTTAATAGATGTACAATATACATGCATCTAGAGGTTTTGTCCTTGGTCATCGGTGGAGGATGACATGGTTGTGTTGAATTGTTGTGTATACATTACACCTATGTGTTTATCTACTTTAACTCGTTGTTAGATTCTTGTTGGTTATGTATATGCATTATACATGTTGGATATGCCTTGTTGCATGGTTGTTATTGGCGTTATATGCCGCGCTTATAATCAAAGGTACCGTTACCTTCCAGCTAGCGCCTGGAGAACTGTATGCGCTAATAATAGAAGGCACCATACCCTTCCAGCTAGCGCCTGGTAAACTGGTATTTTGGCTTACTACGCACATAGCTAGTAGAGCGAAGTTGGTTGTAGTTATTTCAGTATATCTTTGGCTTACTAAGCGCATAGCTAGTTGAGCAGGGTGGAATTGTTGTTGTTAGTTGTAACTGAAAATATCATAGATTTGATTGGTTCCAGTTCGGAGAACCGAGTTACTCCATTGATTGATTGTATACATGTGGGTGGGTTATAAATTTATATTTTTACAAGGTTATGCATGTATAGGTATGACAGTAGTGGAAATGAACCAAAAATGTTTTTTTTTTGTCTTTGGAAAGTGTGAAGGAGAATGAATGTTTTAACGATAGACATGATTTGAAAAGGTACATCTGTGTATGTATAGGAAGTGGAAGAGAGTATCGGGCTTAGTGAGATTATTTTCCTAAGTAATTGTTAATGCTATGAAAGAATGGGAATGGGGATTAATGAAAGGAATAAAGAAAGATGAATCGCTTATAGCGTTGAATGAAACGGTAGTTTTCAAGAAAAGTTTATATATATATATATATATATATATATTTTGTATAAACTGTCACATTACTATTCTAGTACGAGAATGAGTGTGAATGATCATAGCTATCTGTAAGTTGTTATTGTTGAGGATCATGCTGAGATCCCTACTGGACTTTATGTTCATCCCACGTTGTTGAATCATTTTCAGGTGTTAAGCAGGTTGGGCTGCAAGATTTGGTTCTACTTATTTACTGGCCAC